GCTAGCGAGGGAAAATACTTCGATTAATATACTTTTTGCTTTTGATGTCGAAATAAATGAGTTTTTTAAACAAAAAAAACGCAGGAACTTAGTTTACCATCTAATATTAGGACCTTGAATAAATTCTCACTGATTTTTCGTGAAAATTCATGCTTTATTTAAAAAAAGTCGTAAAAAACGTGTCACTGAAAGTATTGTCCATCGCTAGCCACTACTTTTTCCCATCTTTCTGGCAGCATTTGAATTCCACGTCGGAAAAACGACACGTCTTTTGAGGCTATCCAAGAGTCGATCAATTTTTTGGCATTTTCATAAGAATGGAAGTGCTGCTCAGCCATGCCATGTGCCATCGATTGGGAGAAGTGATAATCGGAAAGGGCAATGTCTGGTGAATACGGTGGGTGGGATAGGACTTCCCATTTAAACGTTTTCAAGTAGGTTTTCATCGGTTGTGCAACATGTGACCGAGCGTTATTCTTGTTAAAATGCTTGTTGAAACATTGTAAAGAAATCAGATATTGATTTAATTTAGTCGATATATTTCTGAAATTTTCATCGACATTTGTTTCATCGATATTTTCATCGATAATGAATTTTCGTATCCTAATGTAGAGAAAAGAAAAATCAAATTTTAATTAGCATCATCAATTATCAGCATGATCAGTATCATCAAATTCAGCATGATTTCATTAATTACTCAAAAGTTTTTCACAAAGTTTTACATTGATCAATAAATTAGGTACATAAAATACTTATTTACAATTCCTTATAAATTATTACTTTTTCATCAAGTTTTAGCGCAATTCACCAAAATTTCGTAAATTATTAAAAAATGTTTTCACCAATATTTGAATTGAATTTTTTCATCAATATTTCAGCAATGTTTCAATACAATTTATTCAGTTTTCATTGAAATTTTGTAGATTTCGTAATATTAAATATTTCAAAATATTTACGGAACGGTCAGAGAGAGATATTTGAACGGGAACCGTGTAACTACCATGACTAAAAATATTCTTCCCAAATTGGACACGGTATTGTATAGTGTATGTGAGAAGTAAAGGGCACAATTTAAAGTGAACAAAAGATAACGGAAAATGGAAAATATTTGCTGAGAATCCTAAAAATCATTGAAAATAGCATGAAATCGTCAAAAACAGAAATGAAAGTTATTGGAAATAGCTGAATATCGTAAAAGACACGGCATTGTGCTTTATAATCGGTGTAGTGTCGACCATGGGGACTTTTTTTATAATTTGAATAGGACGCTCAGTTGTGGTTCATGGAAGTATCAGGACCTTGAATAACTTTTCGATGTTTCCCAACAAATGGGAAAATTTGTTGGGAAAATTACATTACCAAAATTGCGTGCGTGTAACGCATTAAGATGGTAACGCATCTATAAAGAAGTACTATAAGCAAGCTTGAAATTCAATGTATGTCATTAGATAGCCTCGAAAGACGTGTCGTTTTTCCGACGTGGAATTCAAATGTTGCCAGAATGATGGGAAAAAATAGTGGCTAGCGATGGACAATACTTTCAGTGATGTTTTTTTACGACTTTTTTTAAATAAAGCATTAATTTTCACGAAAAATCAGCGAGAGCTTATTCAAGCTCCTAATAGATAAGGCCTTCTGAACTAAAGCCTCCCATAGTTCGACTAAAACCGACGCGTGGTGCTCCAAAGCGCTTACCTGAGTCTGATGTAAAAATGCAACTTACCATCGATTTCACTAGTATTTTTATTGTGACCATTAGAAGTATTATTGACCTTATATATATTTGTATCTCAAGCGGAAAAAAGTACTTGACATCTGCTTCGATCTTCCCGTACAACCTCTATGAAGTTAGCCCCCGTGTGCGCGCTTGCGGTGAGCGCATAGATGCCAGACTCGCTCCGCGGGGAACACTGGGAGACGGGTTTTGGTGCGTCAATGAATTGATGTCGTTGTCCCAAGTAACAATTTTATTGATAGAGAGAGTTCAGGATCGGCCGTCGCTGGTGATCGAATCTTCTGTCCTCACTGGGCGTGCGTACCGAATTTTTCGACCAATGTTTTTCGTCGCAGGGGAGCCTTCGCGGGCGGAAGACTCCGGATGTCGCGTTTCGCGATACAATAATTGAGAGCCTGACCCGCTACGGTCGGCAGCCTGAGACTCGCGAAACTGATAGGCGCAAGACAGTAAAAGATGAGACGGCAAACGTTTTTACTGTGAGAGATTCGCACGAGATTGAATGCCCGTTATCGACAGAATGAGCTTTTATCTCCGCGGTTTCAAAGCTGGCGATCAGTGATTGGTTCGGCCTCGCGGCACCTCGACAGGCTTTCATTGTTTTGTTGTTGATATATAGATCTTTGATTCTGCGATCCAATTTTAAGATTGCCATAGCAACCAGCTAGCAAACACAATAGATCGAAGTGTCGCGAGGCCGAATGTTTACCGGCGAAGCCGGTCACCGGGTATCACACACAGAAATTTGTATATCATTTACGTCTCGAAAATTCTAAATAGAATCTTCGAGAAGAACAAGTCGGTCGAGTTGAGGAAATCGCGAAAGGCGACAACACTTTATGAGAATATGAGGCGAGTCCCGAACATCCCGCCCGCCTTGAAACAGCGGTTTCAATCTGAGACGGTCGGAACTCGTCCATCTCGCTCTCGCTCGCAATCGATCGGGAGGATACAAAGTTATTAATCGGTCGCTTCACCTCAGAAGTCGCAGTTCTGACCGTTACGACTCGCACACATCCATCGGAGCCTGGATAACACTGAATCACCCGACCTAAGTCCCGTTTGCATGGGGGGAGATTCTCGTTTCGCAGTAACACGAGCTGGCCGACCCGGATCGACGGTTCGACCCTCCGCCATTTACTGCGTTGTTGAAGGCAGTTCACGTAGTCGGCGTACCATAAACGCCAAAATCGCTCCGCGACCCGACGCACGAGCTGCCATCGTGTTAGGCGATTTTCGTTGGTATCAAGGAGCGAGGATTCAGGTGGTGAAGTGACGGCGGAACCGATCAAAAAATGACCCGGGGTCAATGGCTCGTAATCGTCAAATGAGTCGGACAACGGGCCAAGCGGGCGAGAGTTCAAACATGCCTCGATGCGGCAGAGGAGAGTAGCGAGTTCTTCGAATGTGAGCACGCGATCTTTTAACACGCGACGCATATGATATTTTACGCTCTTAATACCAGCCTCCCAAATTCCACCAAAGTGAGAAGCAGCAGGGGGGATGAACTTCCATTCCACGTTGTTGGTAGCGGTTTTGTTTTGAAAGTTCGGGTCGAGAAGCGCGGCCCGAAACGCGACGGCGAGCTCTCTCGCGGCGCCGACAAAGATGGTTCCGTTGTCAGAATAGATTGTTTGAGGGAGGCCGCGCCGGGCCGTAAACCGATCAAATGCGTTAAGGAACGCTTGCGAGGAGTAGTCAGCGACGAGCTCCAAATGTACGGCGCGCGTAGCTAAGCAGATAAACAGCGCGATATAGGCCTTGCGCGACGCGATCCCGTGACCGGCGGACGCGCGAATATGCACAGGCCCAGCATAGTCGAGCCCGCTATGCAAAAAACTCCGAGCAGGCGCCGAAACCCTTTCGCGAGGGAGATCGCCCATAATTTGCTTAGGCAAAGCGGCGCGCTCGCGAACGCACACGACGCATGCATGAATGCGGGCCCGCACGATACCCCGCGCTCGAACAATCCAAAACTCACGGCGAAGAACACTCAACGTAAGCTGCACGCCAGCATGTAATGAGCGAATATGAGCGTGATCCACGATGAGCTTCGTCACGGGATGAGATAGTAACAAAATCGGATGCCGCTGGGAGAACGAAATCGGAGCTCGCGAAAGCCGCCCGCCAACTCGAAGAGCCGTCACGATCAAGGAATGGAGAGAGAGGGAGAAGAGCGCTTTTGGCCGACAAGGCTCGACCGTGCGTGAGCGCGTGAAGATCCCTCGAGAACAGCTCGGCTTGGACTCGCTTAATAATGAAGGTTCGAGCCTCGGAGCATTCGGCTGCCGCCAATGCGCGACCGTGCCAGCTAGTCTCCGGTCGGCAAAGATCTCGACGACGGCATGCGTTAACAAAACGAAAAATATATGCGAGGACGCGAATGAGTTTGGGCCACGAGGAGAAGCGCGATAAAATATCAAACGGGAGCGACGATTGCGCGGTATGTAATGTAACGAGCCTATCCTTGACAGGGACTTCGGCAGTCGCGTGTGAAAAGGGAGCCGGCCATGAGTCCGAACACTTATCAAGCCATCGCGGACCCCGCCACCATAACACGTGAGCCGGCAGGTCGGCACCCAGCAAACCCCGCGACGCGCAATCCGCGGGGTTGTCCTGCGTAGGTACATAGCGCCATTGAGCGAGGGGAAGACGCGCTTTAATGTCCGCGACACAGTTCGCGACAAAAACCTTCCAGCGAGATGGGTGGTGCGCGAGCCAAGTTAACACGACGGCCGAGTCCGACCAGCAATAACAGGGGACGCTCCGCAACGCGAGCAAGGAGGAGACAAACTCGACGAGACGAGCGAGGATCACGGCAGCCAACAGCTCAAGACGCGGAATGCTCACCGGTTGAAGGGGAGCAACCTTTGACTTGGCCGTAAAGAGGGTGACAACCACGTGATTTGACTGCGTTATGACTTTACAATAGACAACGGCTGCATACGCAGCGCTAGACGCATCGGCGAACCTATGCAGCTCGAGGCGATCAATTTTGCTATCGAATCCGGTCTAGCGTGGAACTTTAAGATCGTCGAGAGAGGAGAGGCCCGAATAGATACGGCGCCATCGAAGGAGGAGCGCGGGAGGAAGTTCATCGTCCCACCTGATCTTTAATCGCCACAAGGTTTGCATTAAGATCTTAGCAGATACAATGACCGGAGTGACCCATCCGAGCGGGTCGTACAGTTTGGCGATTTCCGAGAGTATAGAGCGCTTACTCGTCGGAATCCGTTAGGCCAACGATACTCCGAATCGAAAAACGTCATCCGAAGTTATCCACGTAATGCCGAGAATCTTGACAGCGTCGTTGGCCGCAAGCGTTTTCGAGCATGCTAACCCTGATTTTGCTCGTCGATATCGTGGAGAAGGCCAGGCGAATTACTGGACACTTTCTCAACTCGAATCGGCCTCGACGCAGCAGCGATACGAGCTGATCCCGAATGCGAATCAATTCGCGTTTATAGTCAGCGCCGAATAACACGTCGTCGACATAGACGTGATTTTTTAATATCGGAATTGCTAGCGGAAAGTGATCCCCGTCATCCACTACCAGCTGCTGTATCACGCGTAACGCGAGATAAGGAGCACAACACATGCCGTATGTGATTGTTAGTAATTGGTATTCGGTTGGCTTTACGCGGGGATCATCAGTCCACAAAATTCGCTGATAATCGATATCTCGAGGATCGACTTGAAACTGGCGATACATTTTCTCGATGTCGGCGGAATAGACGTACTTAAACGCGCGCCAACGAAGTATGACAGCGGGTAACTCGGTCTGCAGCTTAGGGCCGGAAAACAAGTGATCGTTTAAGCTCGATCCGTTAGACGTCGGGCTTGAGGCGTTAAAAACCACACGAAGGTTCGTCGTCGAGCTATGCGCGCGATAAACCGGATGATGGGGGATAAATACGACTTGACTGCTCGAGTTGGTTGCGTGATTCGCGCGTTGCATGTGGCCCAACTGTTCATACGCGCGCATAAAGTCGACGTAAGCATGCCGGTGCTCGGGGTCAGTCTGCAATCGATGCGTGATAGAAGTGAGAAGGCGCTCGGCACGAAAGTGAGAAGCGCCTATATCAATTGGAGGATCGGTTTTAAATGGTAATCGTACGATATAGCGACCATCGGGAGAACGGGAGTGGGTGGTTACGAAGTGCTCCTCACATTTGTCATCCTCTGGCGATCGGAGGGGAATGCGAGGGAGTTCTTCAATCTCCCAAAACTGCCTGATTTCGTCCTCAAGTGACGGCGCGCCGAGACAGTGTAAAACCGAGACGGAGTCGCGAGGTAACGTGACAGCGGCGCGCAAAGGCGAGGGGGATTCGAAATGTTCGATCGATCGAACGGGCCTGGAGATAATCCAACCGAATGCTGTGTTCTGAGCGACCAGCCCCCCGCCGTCGCTCCGACAAATACCATCCCGCAGGACTTCGCCGTAAAAGTCCGCGCCGAGAATCAAATCAATCGGATCCTTACCGCACGGATCCGGATCGGCCCAGGATAAGGCGGAAAATTGCGTTAAGCACGACGCGTCGACTGAGCGCTCCGGAGTGTAGGATGTGAGTGACCGGAGAATCAACGCGGTGATCGTATATGACGGCGACGACGAATTCCGAGGTGATATAGCGAGCTCGACTGCGTGCCGACAGAGGCCGGCGCTAATACTGCCGACTGTGGATACGGAAACGGGCATGCGAATTCGCTTTAATCGTAACAGTTGCGCGACGTTTTCCGAAATAAACGTTATCTTGGAGCCTTGATCAAGCAGCGCCCAAATAGCAACGCTTCTTCCGCACGCCGAACTCAAGCGGACACGAGCGGTAGCCAGTAAAACTGGAGCGCTTCGCTGCGCGATCGTAGCGACGAGCAGAGAGTGCACCTCCGCTCCCGAGAAGGATGATGCCGTCTCACGCTCAGGAGCGGACGATGCCTCAACGCGGTGCGCGCTGACGTCCGAGTCAGCGTGGAGTAATGAATGATGCCTCTGATGGCACACTCGACAACTATATTTACTCTGGCATTCCTGAGCCGAATGATTCTGACTCAGACAATTAAAACAGCGGCGATGCCTTTTCGCGAGATCTCGACGCTGACTCGGCGCCCCGCGCATAAATGTTGGACAGGCGCTAAAGTAATGGTGAGCCTTGCACATCGGGCAAGGCGCGCGAAGCGGCGCCGACGCGGCCGCGAAGTGCACTCGCGTTGCCGACGGGGTTTTCCCTCCCAACAGGCTGGACGTGCCAGTTGAGAATTCTTCGAGAGCACGAATTCGACTGGCGATGAATCGATCCAAATCAGGAAATAATGGCGGATCGTCGGTCTCACTCGATCGCAGGTTCCACGCCTTGCGTGTTATCGGATCCAAGCGCTGCGAGACGAGGTGAACTAGGAAATCGTTCCACAGGTCATCCGAACTTCGTTGCAAATTGTTTAGAGACGCGATCGTCATCGTGATCGTCCCGCGAAGAGCTTGAAGCTCGGTCACCGACTCGCGAGACAAACCCGGCAGATTTAGCAAGATTGACAAATGTACAGATAGCAAACGACGTCGGTTGTCGTAACGAGTCCGCAACGCGTTCCACGCAACAGCAAAATTATCTGCAGTGACGGACAAATTAGCGATGCATTCGAGAGCGCGGCCGCGAAGGAAGGATACAAGGAAATGCATTTTCGCAAAATCGTTTAAGTCCTTATTACCAATGATGAGCGCCGAAAAGCGATCGCGGAAATGCTCCCATTCGGCTACGTTACCGTCAAACGGCGCCATTTGAATCGGCGGTAAATGCGCAAGAGAATACGCGGAATGAGACGCGCGCGTATACGAGAGATCAGTAGACTGGTTAGGGCTTACAGGTGGTTCCAGCTCCTCGAGGACCTCGGCCATGTAGTCCAGCGCAGCGTTGTACCCGTCCTCGGTGTTCTCGAAGACCTTGTCGACGAAGTAACTGCTCGTCACTCGTGTAGCTTCCGGGATTGATCTCTTCATCAGCGCGTGGCCGTCGATGAATTGAAGTCAGAGCTCTTTCAAGTTCCTGATGCGGGATCGCACTATCGCGGCCGTGTAATTGTTGCGCCCGTGTAATTGTTCTTGAAGTTCTCAAGAAACCGCGAGATCTGCCGCTGCAGCTGCAAGTGGCGGTCCAGTCAATCAATAGTGGCTATTGATTCGCCGTTATTGGAACGACTCAATTCCAACGAAATCCGCGTCACTGAGGCAGTTGTCCACGCTCACGGATCAGGCTCGAAGGACCATTAAATGTGCGCGCTTGCGGTGAGCGCATAGATGCCGGACTCGCTCCGCGGGGAACACTGGGAGACGGGTTTTGGTGCGTCAATGAATTGATGTCGTTGTCCCAAGTAACAATTTTATTGATAGAGAGAGTTCAGGATCGGCCGTCGCTGGTGATCGAATCTTCTGTCCTCACTGGGCGTGCGTGCCGAATTTTTCGACCAATGTGTTTCGTCGCAGGGGAGCCTTCGCGGGCGGAAGACTCCGGATGTCGCGTTTCGCGATACAATAATTGAGAGCTGACCCGCTACGGTCGGCAGCCTGAGACTCGCGAAACTGATAGGCGCAAGACAGTAAAAGATGAGACCGCAAACGTTTTTACTGTGAGAGATTCGCACGAGATTGAATGCCCGTTATCGAGAGAATGAGCTTTTATCTCCGCGGTTTCAAAGCTGGCGATCAGTGATTGGTTCGGCCTCGCGACACCTCGACAGGCTTTCATTGTTTTGTTGTTGATATATAGATCTTTGATTCCGCGATCCAATTTTAAGATTGCCATAGCAACCAGCTAGCAAACACAATAGATCGAAGTGTCGCGAGGCCGAATGTTTACCGGCGAAGCCGGTCACCGGTATCACACACAGAAATTTGTATATCATTTACCTCTCGAAAATTCTAAATAGAATCTTCGAGAAGAACAGGTCGGTCAAGTTGAGGAAATCGCGAAAGGCGACAACACTTTATGAGAATATAAGGCGAGTCCCGAACACCCCGGCTTTTAATAAAAATATTTTTTTGCATAAAGTTACGCCAAATCGCTTGTAGAAATATCTAGTGAAAGATTTTTCGTTTGTAGTAAAAAAATAAAAATGTTACGGGGGGAGGGGGGAATCGTCAGCCCTCCAAAATGGGGGGCTGACTTAAGAAGTGACCTAATCAACGCCAAATAATTCGTAGAGGTTTGTAGTGAAGAAATTTTCGTTTGTAGTTGTCCAGAAAAAAAATACTCTCGAAAATGTAGGCTCTCATCAACAAACGATTCTTCTAAATCTAAAGGGTAGTACTGTTGTAATTTTTTAGCCTTATCTATTAAATCCGCAGTTGATATCGAAGTAATTTTGGATAACCATTCAAATCTTTCAAAAATATCTTTATATGCATTACTTCTACGTTCTAATTCTGTACTTATACGGTCTATTATAACAAAAAAATGTATCTCGTCTAAACTGTTCTTTATCACAGATTTCTTTTTCAATTTCCGATATCTCATCAAATGAAAAGTTTACGCTTTCTTTTTCGTCTTGTGTCGAATTCATAATCTTCGACTTCAGATTTTTTCTTTGCTTTCTCTTCAAACATATCAAATAAATTTCGTAGTGAATTAATGTATTCTGTTAATAAACTACAAAGTTCCACAACTGTTTGTATGTCAATATCAACATCTTGCAATTTTTTGCTAGTTATTTGAAATCGATCTATTATTGAGTTCCAAAATACAGCCATAAAGACAGTTTCAAATCGACTCATTTGTTTCAATAGTCCTGCAGCTTCATTACGAGTAGCCGGTTTTTCGGTAGTATTTAAATTTATTGTATTTAAAGCTTTAATTGTGGAATCCCAGTTTTCAATGAAACTGCGACAAGCTTTCGCTCGAGATGACCATCGAGTATCAGACATTCTTTTTATTACTATATTGCCTGGTTTTAAAGTAGATAACAATATCTCTTACCGGTGAGTTGACGCAGAAAAAAATGTGTAAAGATGCTGCAAAATTGAAAAAAAAATTACATGCTTCATGACAACTTTCTGCTGCGCATACGCCAATCAAATTTAAAGAATGCTCAGAACATGGCACGTATAGCGCACATTGATTTTTATTTTTTATTCTAGCTTGCAATCTGTTATATTTGGCAGACATGTTACTGGCATTATCATAGAACTGCCCTCGGCAGTTGGCAATGTCCAAATCATAATTAACTAACGTAGAAAAGACAGCATTAGCTAATTGTTCAGACTTATGACCAGTATTTGGTAAAAAACAAAGAAAATGTTCTACCGGTATACCATCATTGTCTTTTACATATCTTAATATAAAAGATAATTGATCAATATGCGATATATCGGGAGTTGAATCAACGCTAATTGAAAATATTTGGCTTTCTTTACTTCTGTAATAATTTATGCACTCACTTCTGTTGCCATCAATTTTACAAATTCATTGCACGTTTGAGAAGAAAAATAAGAGACTATTCCGCGACCTGCATTTCCATACTTTTTTATATGATTAGCTAAAAATGGATCAAACTCTGCTATAAGTTCAAGAACCATCATGTAGTTACCATTATGAAGTGATCCAAATTTTTCATCCTTGCCTCGAAAAGCAAGTCCTCTACTTGAAAGTTTTTTCACAACTGACACAACTCTTTTCAATACATTTGTCCAATAATTTATTTTTTCTTGCAATTGAAATTCTAAATCAGCATCAATTCTTTCAGAAATCTTACTTCTTTTTATCATTTTAAGTTTACATGTTTGTGCTCAGTTGAATTTTCATGTTCGCGTATTCGAACAAAGATATTTTTTCAGTCATTGTAACCATTCGTTGCCAGACTGGAGGTTCCTCCAAATAGTCTACACGGGGCATAGAACACAGCTCCCTTGCTTTCTGAATATATAAGAAATTTTCTAGGCATTATCTCACCATTTAGAAGACGCTGCTCAAAAACATTTTTTGTTAAAGTACGACTTGTATTACCATAATATCTTTCAGAATTCCCAAAATCGACATCTATATTTTGTTAAATATTATGTGTGGATAAGTATTCAATTGTAAAATCATTCAATATCCACTTTGCTGGATCACTACTAATTATCGGAAATACTTCTTTGTTTTGAATTTCTGAATTATGCGATTCATAATTATCTGTAATTTCATATGATATATCCACGTCAATCGTTTTCTGAATTACGCGATTCATTATTATCCGTAATTTCGTGTGATTTATTCACGTCCATGCAATCGTTCTCGGAGGTAGTGGTAGTCTCTGATGTGCTTGCAACTAAAAGATCAGTTTTTTTAATATTAACTATTGGCATAACGTTTTTACTAGATTCAACGTATTCATCATTACTACTATTTGTAACTTTAGAATCATTTCCAGATGAAACAAATGAATCTAATTTGCGCATTTTAGATAAGACCTCATTTTCGCGCTCTTTCTTCATTAATGCATTTTTTTTATATTGATTTTCACCTAATTTCTTTCTTCCGGATATATTTATAAATATTTTAACCCGCCAAATTCGGGTCGTTTCAAGTTAAAACTTTTAACTATCCAGAAACGAGAAACTCAAAATCTTGAAAAATGAAAACTTTATTAGAGTGATCTACTATGACTTTGCAACTTTGCAATTTTCGGAGAAAATATCTTATGACAATAAAGACCTATGGGTAATAATCCAGAATCATTGAGGAAGCCTGGTTAATGAATTAAAAATTGAAAATAGGCATGGAGAAATATCGAAAAATATCGATGTTTCAAATAACAACCAATGTTCTGCGGCGAACTGAATGATATAATACTGTGTCCAAAAAGTAAGACCAGTTTTCAATTTAAATCGCGCGGGTAAACCGCACATCATAAATATTTTTTTTCTAAGTTGGCAACATTGTGACAGACATCTGTGACAAATTTCATGTCAAAACATTCATTACTTTTTGCTTTACGCTTGGTTTTGTACGACGCTAAAAGTACATTCGGCGATTTTTACAATGTCTAATTATATTGAGCAAAGAAGTTGCATTAAATTTTGTTTGCGGAATGAAATTTCGGGTGCAGAAACGTTCAGGATGTTGCAGAAAGCCTTCGGGGACCATGCTTTGTCGGAAAGGAATGTTTACAAGTAGTATAAACAGTTCAAAGAAGGTCGTGGAAGTGTTGAAGACGAAGAGCGTTCCGGATGACCATCAACCTCTGCCGATGAACAACACGTCAAGAAAATCGAAGAACTTATGCTTGCTAATCGTCGAATGACTGTTAGAGACCTTGCTGATGCTGTTGGAACTTCGAAAGGATCTGCCAATACCATTTTGAAAGATATTTTGGGCCTGAAACGTGTAAAATCTAGACTAGTGCCAAAACATCTCAATTTCTTCGAAAAAGAGCGTCGCATTAAGATCTGTGAAGAGATGCTTTCTGACTATCAATCGGTCATGAAACGGATTATTACTGGAGATGAGACTTGGATCTATGCTTACGACCCGGAAACCACCGACCAATCCAGTGAATATCGTGCAAAAGGTGAAGCCAAACCGAAAAGATCGCGTCAAAGTCGATCGAAAATCAAGGTCATGTTGACAGTTTTCATCGATTATCGTGGTGTTGTCTATTCAGAATTCCTTCCACCCGGCCAAACCGTCAACAAAGAGTATTATTTGAGTGTTATGCGTCGTTTGCGTGAAGCTATTCGCCAGAATTGTGGGCAGACAATTCTTGGTTTTTGCATCACAATAATGCACCTTCTCACACTGCACTCGTTCTTCGTGACTTTTTCGCCAAAAATTCGATCCATATCGTTCCACAACCACCGTATTCGCCTGATTTAGCACCGTGTGACTTCTGGCTATTCCCGAAACTCAAAAGACCACTGCGGGGAAATCGTTTTGAGACGATAGAAGAGATACAACGTGAATCGCTACGCGCTCTGAAAGCCATCCCGGAAGGCGACTTTAATTCTTGTTTCGAGGACTGGAAAAT